CTACACCTGATACTTCGTAATATATGAAAATGTTTATATTATATAAATATATTTTTTTAAATATATTTTTTTATCTCTATTATATAATCTTTTATTTTAACAGCATAACATAAGAAAAGAGTCATTGATTAATAAAATAATTATTTAATCACTTTAAGCTTATTTAAGTTTATTACGCACTTTGAGATGCCCGTCTAGAGCGATGCCACGCCGATCTTTGTTGCTGCTGGCCAGAGGCACAAGATAGAATTGTTTCGTGAAGGATGCACCTGGTGTGATTGGGCAACCCTCGCGAGTCTCCAAACTAGCCACGTGTCGCGAAAATTGGGCGTTTACCATGGTCACCTCGCAATGTTGAACGACATACAACTACGATATAAAACAGGATAGCGTAAAATGTAAACACTTTGATTTAATTTTGATCGATTCACAAGAAGATAGAATTTAATTTTAGAATATACCTTAATGTTCTTTACTGCCTTTCGCGAATTATTCGTAATTGTGACGTTCGCCGCAACTTTCTCGCCATGATAGTAGAGCTCTTTGTCCAGTGTAACTTCCAGATTCAGTTTGCCCTGGGAGAAAGTAAATCCTTTATAAACTAAAGAGCTGGGAAGTCGGCGGCCTCGTATTGATGGAGCGTACTGTAACTTCTTGATGGCCAATGAAACAGAAGATCTTTTGTGTCCCTGATAAAATATAAAGCAGATTTTTGCAGCAATTGATTTAAATTATTAATTTGTTTTTATATCGCGTATTAATTTTTCATATGTATATCTTATTTCCCATTCTATACCTTGTCTTCTTCGTTATCTCCAACGAATATTTTCACAGCGTACTCGACTCCTAAGGGTTTCCCTTGATCATCATCACCGGGTTGGAGAGTAACTGAGCAAGGAGCCGTCTGCGGAAAATGGAACATGAATGGATATGCGTTTGAACCCAAGCGCTTCAATAAGCGATCCTGTATTGATGTAGTCTCCTGCTTCTCCTTCTTCACCGGTATTATTTGATCGCGACACAATACCAGCTCCTTGCTGAATTTGATTCCCATAACTTCGTCCTCTTCACGGCCATATCGGTAGGTTGTCGAGACCTAAATATTATACAATATATAACGTTATAATATTATATATTAAAAGAAATATGTTGGACGACTTTCAGGAATCATATCTAAGAACATTTTTTACAAGATTCAATTACATGTCTTTACCTACCTGACCAAAGACCTTGCGTCCCTGAAGATAGTCATTTTCCACAACGATAACGCCATCGATGGGATCAGTGTGATCTAAATGGTCGATAAAATCTCTTTTGCCCAGATATACCGTAATTTTGCCTATAGGATATTTTAACGTGATTTTTATTATTAAGTGCGGCTCATTAAGGAAAATAAATAAAATTTTGAAGAAGTCTCAGAATTGAGCGTATTTACCATTAGGAGTGGTCTTTTTAAATACTTTAATGGCTACAACAAAGACCAAAAATAATATAGGGAACATTTGGCACTGTTTTTTTTTCTAAACGAACAAAGTGTTTTAGCAGAGAAATTTATTTCCCGCCCAGAAGTGACACGTCTCCGATATCCAGTTCGGATTCATATAGTCTTGCCAGGGCTTCCCTCGAAGCCATACTACTAATAACACTGCTAATGGAATTACTTCGTTATAAAACTGATTTAAGAGGATTGCGAGTTATGTGTGACAGAAAGAATCGTCGTGTACATTTTCGATCATTGCACATTTCAAGACATAAATATTTAACACCAGTAATATAATATGAAACATTTATGTATAAGTATATATATTTCTTTGCAATATGTTACCTGCAATCGTAAAGTAAATCGTTTATGACAATTGTATCTTGTATAGAAGAATGGTAACAATTTTTTATTGAGAGGGAAATAATAGTCTTACATCTTTTCAGTCTTAAGTTTATTTCGATAATGAATGTTTACATAATATAATACGGAGGTATTTTCTGCAGCTTAAATGAAATCCCCTGAATTTTTCAAACGATCGCTCACGTGTGTTCACGATTTTCTTTAACGCGTATCTATCGCGAGCGTCAAGTAGATATTACTTGGCGTTAATAATTAAACCCGCTTATATTTCTTCGTAATTTATTTCTTCTTTTTTCTCACAATCAATAGTCAGTAGACAGTCGATGTAACATAGTATATACTTTTCTGTGTTTACGTGTGTGGGCGTGAACACCATCGGCGTACGATGCTCCAAAAAATATTGTGGTAACTGAGAGACACTTTCTTTCTTTTCTTTTACGCAATATATGAAAAAGGCAGTAGTAATTCGAATGCCCATCGAAATCGTACGACATATCACTTCCTTGACAGTCGTGATCATAGGCATCGTCGATCGAAAATCACTTTACATTGTGTTTACAACTTTCGACAGAATTTTCTACTTGGTGCTTTAAATGCCTTTTTTCAATACTCGGCGAAACAAAAATTTTCACACTGGGATATAAAAAAAATGCACGCAGCCACCAAGATTCGTAGGACCCTATCTTAATCGAGTAAAAAAAGAAAAAGAAAACATCGCGCGCAGCATATGGTACTACAACGTAATGAGAATTGCTACAAACTATAAAAAATTTTTTACGACGGCGATAACAGTAAATAATAACATAATAATAATCGTGACAAACATGTCTAATAATAGGCACAGTTAGAGTACAGTATATAGTTATATTCATTACTCAGCACTTTTTTTTAAATTACAACTACAGAAATTCGTTGCTACCAGGGAACAGAAATGCTGTGTGTGACGAGATTTTATGAAATCTTTATTCCAAATAGTCACGCTTCACAATGCCTTCATACAATACCTACTATAGTCTACAATATTATCCCGACACTTTTACAGCTCTTCGTAACGTTTATCTTAAATGAGATCTTTATTTTGTTTTTTACAAGAATTTTCGATAAAAAATAAATTGCAAAAACATTTTCAATTTTATTTTTCTGTATATCTATGTGAAATGGAAAATTTTCTAGAAAGAAAAAAATCATAAAATCTAATACGAATGTATTATAACTTCAAAGCAAGCAAAACAAATTTACTATCAATTTAACAAGTCATTATACTAATGTAACTTTCTTGTAAATTTTAATTTACAAGTAAAAGTAGAATTATTTAATCTCTTAATTTTAATTTATACGCAATCATACATTGGATTCTAAACGTTAGCCCGCTCTTCGCTGAGCAGATAGGATTCAAAAAGGCAATCCTTTTATTCGCGAATGCACATTATCTCCAGCCTCAAAACTCACAAGATGCATCCAACACATTTGCGATAAGATGCTTAGAGCATTGGTTGCCGTATATACTTGAGCAATGTCTAAACTGTCGTAGCGTGAAGATGAACAAACGAAAAACTTATTGAAATACCTTACTTAATATTCGACACAATGCTCTATCTATACGACATGCGCAAAGTGTCTCAAATTTTCGTTTACATTTTACAATATTCCAAACAAGCTAGGAGAAAAATATATTTGTGTGTGTATGTGTGTGTGTGTGTGTGTGTGTGTGTGTGTGTGTGTGTGTGTGTGTTATGTGACAAGCTAAAAAGAAACCTCTTTCTCTCTTGCTCTCTTCTTTCAGCTGGATATCAAGCTTCGCACTTTAGTCTTGCACTGTGTACATATATCGTATTTTTAACCGTAATAACATTTGTACATAAGTAGAATCAGTTCCCTGATACCAGCGCACTTCTAATGTCGAACAGTACAAATATTGTTAGTCTCGAAAGTATACATGGTAAATTTTCGTAATATGTTTACCGCAATTTACTCTTTTTTTTCTCTCTCTTGCACTCTCACTCTCTTTCTCTCTACGAACTTACATTACTAATCATTTTTTTTTATTTTTTCCCGTTCTCACCTTTTTTAGTTCTTTTTTTTTATTAGACACTGCTGAAATCATTTATCTTTTTAGAGGTGATTCCCGAAGCGAGGCGGCGCTGCAAACCTCGGCGCAAGCAAAATTTGTCTCACACAGTAAAAATCTATAAAATGACAAATGTTTTTTAAAAAAGTAGTAATAGATTTCTATTTTATATCTTATTAATTAAATATTTCATAATTTTCTCTAGGAAAAAAAGAATATGTTCACAAAATTTACCTAATACTCCTCACAGAAATGTCTTCTTATAAATAAGAAACTTTTCTTATGATAGATCTGGAATATAAAAATGTAGAGTGATACAAGAAAAACAAAAGGCGTGCAGACATCATCATTTTTAAAGTACTTACAACTCGGTGCAGCTGCGGATTCAAATCTTTTTTGTATCTGATCGTATGTGAATTTAACAAAAGCGTCATACTGTTCGGAGAGTTTTAAATGTAAGATCTTATCATACTCTTCTCGGATTTGCGTTTCTTGCTCTTTGAGCATTCGCTCGCAGATCAAGCCAACCTATAACATCAATCTTATGAGCATATCAATAAAATCAAAATTTTTACTTATAATAATAGGTATTTATTTCTAATGAAGTAATCCCAACTCTATACAGATCATTCCAGCAACATTGCAAATGTTGCAGCAATGTTCCTGCAAATTTTTGTGCTATATGGGAACATAAACAAAAGTGATCCACATATTTGTATTTACCATTGAAATATGCAAATGATTAGAAGAGTTTACCTGTCTAAATGTGAAAAGTGGTTTTTCTTTTCCACTAGTGTTATGACTAAAGAGAGTTAAAGAAGAGCCAGATGGACCAGAAGGACTAGAAGGTCCTTCCATGTCTGATGAATCGCCGCTGTTCGTTTGAGGCTGAAAGTGCAATTGTTTACGTCGTTGCAATCTGCGGATTTCTTCTCTGATGTTGGCAGCCATCTTTTCTATAAACAAATGTACATTGTTTATAAAAATATATTATATATATATTTTTTTATATTAAATTTGAATTAACTTTCAACAAAACGCAATTAACGTACAGTTTATAATACAATAATATATAAGAAAATAAATATGTTTACCAAGGACTCTCGCTCTCTCTTTAAAATAACAAAAATAAAGGTAATCTAGACTATCGAGAATCAGCGCGGAAGGTAATGCGCAAAAATTTTTTAACAAGTAAAATTGATTATTATTCCATTTGATGTTCAGTTAAACAATAATATACAATATTTATCCAGAATATTAAATATTATATATTATTAATATTATTATTAATATTATA